TAGACCTACTACATGACCTCTATTGTTTCATGAACTGAAATGTGAAACGCATTGCCCTTGTCTGGTCTGCATGTGGCGAAGCGAGCCAGTGAAGAATGTCTTCCTCATCTCAACACAGGCAGACCGGAGCTTTCTGGATCATCATGTCCAGAGTCGACAGTGTTTTATGTAGCTTTAGCATATGATCTGCCTCCATAACACCCACATTAATAGCAAACACACTGGTATTTGAGGGGAGAAGAAAGATAGAGAGTTGTGTTAAACGAAAAAGGGATTTGAGAATGTAAAACAGGAGTAGAAGAGGGTGTGGAATAAGGGCTGTTGTGAAATCATACTGTCATCCCTCAGGCATGTCTTCTGAATTTTCCCTCCTATTTTTCATCCCTCTATTTTCTCCTCATATGATCTCTTGAGTCGTTCTAATGCTGCCTCTCCTCGACAGATTACCTCACAGTTCTGCCTTTTGCTAGATTTTCAGTGGCTTAAGCTCTCATTTCGTGCCTCTTTCTCTCTTGTCGTCTTCTTGTCCTCTTCTGCTCACGCTCTTTACTGCCTGAGAGCAGAAACAGCAGGTTCTGAATGTGGCATGATGATGAAGTTGCAATAGGCTCTTGATATTCAATCCTTACAGCTTTCTGCATCTCTGGCTCTTTCAATTTCATTCCCTGTCTGTCTTTATTCGAGCAGTGACTTTGACGTTTCATTTGGCACATGGCAACCTGCCTCCAATTAGTGGTATTTTTACAGTGATGCTTTTGTATTGATTTGCACAGCCGTCCAGACAGCTGTCATGTCAGAGTCATTGATGCCTGAGAGGCTGAGTAAAAAAAGCTGTTTGACAAAAGAAATTGCTTGAACTTAATGTTTAAAATTCACATAAAGTCATTACATAGAGAGCTTAAACATAGCTGCTGGCACTTTCCATGAATAGTGTACAAAATTGGGCCTGAACATCATTAAAAAAAAAGTTGGTGTTTCAGGTGTAAAAAGGTTATGTTATTTCTTATTTGTCACAGTTTTATGGTATTTTTTGTAATGGGGAAAATGATGACATACGCATGTAGTATTTACAAAAAAAAAACGACATCATAAAAACAGTTTTTATTACAATGAACTGAAAATCAATTTAACAGATTATGCCAAAAGCTTGACATTTTGTATGATTAGGATATAAAGCTTAAATAATGGGACATCAAAGTGTACTGCATTCAAGGAAAGTGCTTGCGCTCTTTTAAATGACAGAATGTGTTGTTCATAATACTAAGCAACATTTGAACTAGAAATGAAATGTTAGCGCACACATTCAGTTATCCTTGCATCCACTGCAAAAGAGGGTTTATTTCAGGATTTATTTCAGTGATGGTAATCCTTCATTTTGCTCTGAAAGTCACAGTGATGACCTTTCATCAGTGTGTTGGAGAATAGATCAGTATAATGATAGACTCTGCACTTAATTGGTCATAATGACCGCACTTATTATCCAAGAGTCTTCAACATATCATCGGAGGGTCTTAGGCCATTTTTAATGACCTACATTCACATTTTTATATGTTTGAAAAATGTCTCTTATGCTCACCAAAGGCAGTGTTTATTTGATCAAAAATACAGTGTGAAATATTATTATTAAAATTTAAAGTAGTGCTGTCAAATGATTAATCGCGATGAATTGCATCCAAAATAAAGGTTTTTGTTTACATTATATATGTGTGTGAACGGTGTATATTTATTATGTATATATAAATACACACACATACAGCATATATTTTAAAAATATTTATGTATATATTTATATTCATATAATTTCTATCATATATAAATATATTTAATATATAAATGTAACATTTTTCTTAAACATATATATGCATGTGTGTGTATTTATATATACATAATACATATACACAGTACACACACATATTATGTAAACAAAAACTTTTATTTTGGATGCGATTAATCACGATTAATCATTTGACAGCACTAATTTAAAGTCACTCTTTTCTATTAAAAAATATGAAAACTTCATTTATTCCTGTGATGCCAAAGCTGAATTTTCAAGTGGCATTACTCAAGTCTCCAGTGTCACATGATCATTCAGAAATCATTCTGATATGCTCATTTGCTGCTCAAGAAACATTTCTTATTATTATTTATTTTAAAAACAGTTATGATGCTTAATATTTATTCAGCGTTTATTTGAAATAGAATTGCTTTGTAATGTTATATTTGTTTAATGCGTCCCTAAATAAAAGTATTCATTTCTTTATAAAAATCTTACTGACCCCAAACTTTCGAACAGAGATATATATTCCAGCAATGTAAATTATGGATTGAAGTCATTATTTTTCTAATACCGCTCGTTATGTTCAACAGAAGACTCATAAAGCTGATTTTTGGGGTTGGGTGTTAGAGTTTTCCTTTCTCTTCCTCTCTTTTCCTCTATGACAGAATGTGAATGAACTGTAACAATCCAATACAGTATGGCGCATCTCTGACACCTCCCACCCACCTGCTGCTCTTCAGTTCGATTGTAATTGAAAGGGTTTATTTCTGTAAAGCTGAGAATGAGGAACTTAAACCTTATTGTCTTAATTCAAACCTATGTTCCGATCTATCACGCTAAAGTAATAACCTGATTTTATTTACATCCACAGGAAAGACGATGCAACGGAAGGATTTTTCACAGCACACACCTGCTGCCAGATCGATAATTAGACTTGTGTGAAAAAAAGAAAAAATGCGAAAAAAGTGTAGAAATTGCTGCAGAAATGGAAAATTGTAAAGTTGCTCATCATTCTCTTTGTTGCATTGTGCTACATTATTGTTATTGAAGGGGCAATTTAAATTTCAGATCAATTAAAAAGCTACATTAAGTAAATTAAGCATTAAGTAGATTGCTAAATCTCTGATTACACACAGCCTCGTATATCCTTTCCTGCTTTCCAAGCAGTCAAAAGCTTCATATATTGCATAGGAAAAACAATAAAGTGATTACTTGGGTGACTCTAAGATCATATGCAACCAGTGATTCCTCAAATCGGAGAGTTATTTAAGCAATTTTGGCATTTGAGAGATTTTTATAAAAACCTAAGAACACTGTAACAGATAGAAGTTTTTGAAATGTAGCTACTTTTCAAATTGTTCGCTAAAGTCACGTGGCAGATACCATTTTGCTAAAAGATAGTTTTAATATTTCTGCTTAACATCCCTCCGTCGTTAATGAGAACATTTGGAAATGATCAAATGCAGAAGAGAGAATGTAAGTGGGTCAGATGCATTCAGGGTGAGATTGCTGAGAGAGGGAAAGGCTTTTTCTCTTAAAGAGCGTGGGATTCGGGATCCTGGCCAGTAATATCAGGAGAGTTGATATCCTGTTCTGGTTTAGCCATTTCCTTGTCTTTGCTGCTGTTTTATTTGCTAGGTCAGTGACAGGATCAGAGCGGGGCAGGAAATATATCATTCAGAATGAGCATAGCATGTCAAATCAGGATGGTTATTATTCATCTCTCTTCCTCAAATGCCAGTTCAATAAGATATATGCATGTCCTGGTGTGAATTTGCGATGGCCATATTATGAATTAGTATTCTCGCCGTTTCTTTTCTCGCTTTCACTCTTTCTCTCTTCAAGCTGTGGTGGCACACTGAGCTTATTATGAGTCTGCTGCATGTGCAGCGGTTAAAGCAATGCATTTGTTCTCTTTTATTTAAAAAATCAGCTCCTCTTCCTGCCTTCATCTTCTGTTCCCCACTCTCATCTCTCATAGGTTCTTAATCCATATTTGACAATAACGACTGACATCGTGATTAAATTAACTCTTAAATTCTATGCTGTTCGTATTTCCAGGGGCTGTTTTGAATCTGTAATGCATTTACAGAAAATGAATGCTTTCAATCAGGTCTCAATTTCCCTCAATGAGACGATATCTCTGAGTTTTAATAAAATGTTAAAGCTGGTATAATACATTACGCTGCATAGACTATTCTTTTATTACTATTACTATAAAATTTAGTTCCTCAACAGTTCCTTTGTGCTCTTCTCGTATAGGGCTGGATAATTTAGTTTGTTCCCGCCCTACATTTCTTCTTTAGGCACTAATGACTGTTACAATTACTGTAGCAATTTCAAGTACTTCCATTTGTAGAAATCTAGTACCACATTAGTATGGATGGGAATTCTAATAATTATAATACATTTTATACAATGTATTTTGTTGCCACAGGAAATGTCCACACTAAAAGGTCTTATGTCAGACAGCACAGGGTTTGGAAGAGTCCATTTAAATATGTGAGCAGAGCTGCTGTTTATATGTAGGGTCCAACACTAAGTTGATGCTGCACCTGCCAATGTAAGTGAATTAAGATAATTTAATGACAAATGGCCATAAATTTTTTTGTCATAATAATGTTTGTAAAAATAAACTGTATTTTGCATTATTTTAATGAAAATATTATCTGTATTATAATTTATTTATTAAAATAATTGTATATTTTATATCATTTTATTTTATATGATCTATTTATTTGCAGTATTTCAGCAAAATTGCATGTTAAAAAAACATGAATGAGACATAATGTGATTCTATTTCTTGTATCTTAGAAATAGAATCTTAATTTAAGAATTTATGAAATCCAATATAGTCAAGCTCTCTCTCTCTCTCTCTCTATATATATATTTATATATTTAATATATTCAAGGTAATTGATTTAAAAAGATGCAAACATAACAGAGTCTATTAGTTATTAAATTGATTGTATGTTTTTTTATTTATTTTTTTATTCTTTCATGTATTTTCAGGGCCAGATTATAATTTTTGCCACATTATGTTTCAGTTCCTAATGAAATTACCAGCAGATGTGTCCTAGTTTTATTAGTGAACTGCTAGGAATTTTAGAATTCTTAATATTTTCTCTCCTCTGGTTCTGATTTATAAAATTCAATGAAAAGTTAATTCCCCCACCTCCACACACATTCTTACTCTCTATCTGCTTCTTTTTCTCTTTCTCAGTCTGAAGTCAGTTCTTTCAAGCCCTCCCTCCGGTGGGACATTAGATCTGTCTGGCATCCCTCTTGGAGTGAAAGACATGGAGCGTCTCTGTGCCTACCTGCATCACCACGCGTCCCGCATCGGCAGCCTTGAGCTGGGCTTCACCGAGCTCACAGACGATGCCTTCCTTCTGCTCCTCCCTACGCTGGCGTCTCTTCCCCGCCTTGAGACGCTGGCCCTCAATGGCAACAGGCTGACCCGTGCCGTGCTCAAAGAGCTCACAGACACACTGAAAGACCCAGACAGCTTCCCCAGCGTCACCTGGATCGACCTGGGGAACAACGTGGACATCTTCTCCCTCCCACAACCATTTCTGGTGAGCCTGCGCAAGCGCTGCCCCAAACAGGGCAACCTTCCCACCATCCTTGAGTTCGGCGAGAGCCAGGCCAGCGAGCCGGAGGGCCGAGTGGATGAGGACGATGCAGATGATACAAACAGGACTGAGAGTATGGGAGAACTCAGATCTGAGGTAGAAGAAGAGATTGACGGTGAGATGGAGATTGAGGACATGGTGGAGGAGTTGCTGGACTTTGACAGGGAAGTGCAGGGCAAGGAGGACGAAGACGAAAGTATGTGGACCTTGGAGGAGCAGCGGCTGGTAAAAGATCCAGTTGCAAAGCGGAGCAAAGAGAAAAGGCCGTCCAAAGCAGAGGGCGAAGAGGACTTACAAAGCCAGTCTTCCCATCTGTCCTGCTCCAGCCAGTCACAGCACTCTTCTGGAGCCATCGAGCCTTTAAGAGAAGATTCTGTCCCAGACCAGTTAGCGTGTCATTCGAACAACCCTACCTGATTGCAGCCACTGTCTAATTTTATTAGATGCTGGTCCCTTTAAGAAAAAGAGAAAGCGTGACAGGCTTGTTTTCAGACTGGGATATCCATGAAGTCATGGGATTCAAAAGGTTTTATAGGGTTGACACTCACAGTAGTTGTCTGTTGTTGCAAAGGAGAAATTTATCGCTTGTGAGGTTAAAAAAATATCAAATATAGCTTCTCATTCAGGTTTTTCCCTTCACTGTCATGTAAATGTATAGATCCAGTCGCAAAGCAAATAGCAGAGGGTGAAGAGGATGTCCAAAGCCAGTCATCCCATCTGTCTTGCTCCAGCCATTCACAGCATGCTTCTGGAGCCATCGAGCCTTTAAGAGAAGCTTCTGTCCTAGACCAGTTAGCATGTCATTCAGACAACCCTACCTGACTGAAAACACTAAGAGTCTGTAACCTTCGTCCCTTTAAGAAAAAGAGAATGGTAGAGCGTGACAGGCTTGTTTTCAGACTGGGTTACCTATGAACTCATGGGATTCAGCAGGTTTAATAGGGATGACAATCATGGCTGCTGTCTGTTTTTGCAACGAAGAAATTAATCACTTGTGAGGTACAAAAATATCAAACATACCTTCTTATTCAGGTTTTCCCATCCACTGTCTTAAAAATGTAAAATATCCAGTCACAAAGTGGAGCAAAGAGAAGAAGGCATCGAAATCCAGTCTTCCCATCTGTCTTGCTCCAACCAGTCACAGCACTCCTCTGGAGCCATCGAGCCCTTAAGAGAAGACTTTGTCCCAAAACAGTTAGCATGTCATTCAGACAACGCTCCCTGATGGAAGCCACTGTCTAATTTAACTAGTGTCTGTAAACTTCGTCCCTTTAAGAAAAAGAGAAAGCGTGACAGGCGTATTTTCAGACTGGAGTCATGGGATTCAGCAGTTTTTATAGGGTTGACAATCACAGCGGTTGTCTGCTGTTGCAAAACAGAAATGGATCACTTGTGAGGTACAAAAATATCAAATATACCTTCTCATTCAGGTTTTCCCCGTCACTGTCATAACCATGAACCTCTGTGTGCCTATGTGCCTGTTCAAAACCCTGCTGGAGAAGCATGTGTGTGTAGGTGCACATTTAGATCAGTTAAACATGCTGGATATAAGCAGATTGGCTTGGCCGTCATGAATTGGTGTGTCCATCTATGCATCTGACTGTCGCAAGCATCATGTTCTCTCCAGCAGTGGAAAACAACCTAAATTCTATTCAGTATCGTCCAATGAATATGCATGTCCCGGGTGTCAGGTGGATGGTACGCAGATCAGATGAGATCATATGAAGTGCCCCTAATTTATACAGTGGAAAACCAAAATGTCTTGTCACACTGTTGGCCCAAAACAATATGTTTGTTTGATACAGAGCAGCAGGACTGAAGCCAAAGAGAAAAGACTTACTCCACGGAAAAAAGAAAGTGTCGTTTGGCTATATGATAGTATACAATACTGTTATTCTGTTGTTGCTGCTTGACATGAATTTTGAAGACAATGTAAGGTTTCTTAGCTCAGTTCTTTAGAATAGATCCTTTAAACACAAAAATTATATAAAGGTTTAATTTCTATTTATCCACTGTTATTAAATGATAACGGTATTTCATAGTATAAACATCTATTTAGTGCCTAATTATATTACATTGTTCAAATGTAATTCAAACTAGTTCTGATATGCCAGTAAATTAAAGTATTGTTTCAATGACAGTGTATATTGATTAGACAGATTTGTCTTAATGGAAAATAGTTGTTTTAATTCATTATTTAAAATTACTTAATTGAGAATTAGGATTTATTATATCCATTTATACTGTACTACTTTGTATATTATCATAATATGCTTACATGCAAAAATCTTGTTCAGTGTTTTTTAAGTAGAATTATCTCCCTCCCCAAATGATGGTTTATACAATTAATTCATTAAGTCTAATTGCTCCTGTAATAAAGTTAACCAATATATTTCAGTTTATCATGTCATTTTATGGTCACCAGGTAGCCTCAAAATCTCCTGCTGTTTTTCAAAGCCATACTTCTTGACAAGTTCTGCCATTACAGAAAGGGAATTATATATTGATAAAAGTGCACTGAAGAGCTGTGATCAACTAATTTTGTCTGTATTTCTGTATTCCCACAATGGTTAATAAAGAAAGGAGAATGATAGGGATGACAAGGTACAGCAATATTTGTATATGATTATTTGTAAAACAAAACAAAATGTATTTGACTGTTGGCATCAAAATCAATAAACCTTTAACAAATATAAAATTAATTTATGCATTAAACAGTACATAAAATGTTGGACTGTTAGAACTGTGGTAAAAGAAAAAAAAAAACAATAAACATGTAAACGTTTTTATTGCGTTTGTGCACCGGAACATTGAACTGTAATTGAACGGGACTGGTGGATGGAGGACTGTAAACTATTAGTAATCGATGTCGACATCTAGTGGTTGGCAACTCTTTCGTGCTTGGACTCTTTGGGCTTGGGCTTGTTTTATGTAAACGACAGCGTTTACGTACTTCCGTTTCTTTCCTTGCAATTTACAACACAAACAACCTTTGAGTATTAGCAAATGAGGCTATAAATTGTTCGACAAGAAAATTAATTTATGAAAATATGGACCAACAAGGTCTATAAAAATACAGAAAATCCTTTTTAAACAACAACTCTTGCTGATGATAGCTGGTTTCCAGTTGGTCATTGGCTGGTCTAACGTTAAGTAGACCATTAGAACAGCAACAAACCATACTAGCCGGTCAAATCAAGCTGGATGGGAAAACATGGTTGCTCTGGACAGCCAGATGGTGACCAATTATGACTAGTTAATGACCAGACCAGCTATAAACCACTGGGCTTAACTGGATTTTATTGTAGAGACTATCGTGATTTTGAGAAACACATTTTATTTAGCTTAATTTTCCGTTCAGATTTTCACAGAGCGGAAATTTATCTTTGACACTGGCCAGGAAAATATACACACATTATCAAACATAGATCCAACAAATTACTAAATATATGGATTAATAATAATATGAATACGATTGTTAATCATTTGGATGTAAAGACGTAATATATATATATATATATATATATATATTACGTCTTTACATACACTAGTAAATAGATGTAAATATATTACAAAGTTAAGTCAAGTCAAGTCTGCTTTTATTGTTAAGTAAAACAAAACCAGATGTGTTGACATAAAACCACAAATTATCTAGTAAAAGTAAATAAAATTGTAAAGTCTTTAAATGAGACCGAACAATATTCTGCAGAATACGGGGCTATGGTCTCATTTTCGACATTGACCGCATCAATATGGCTACCTATAGGCGCCGTCTGAATTGACTGTGCTATTGCATCACTTCCGGGAAATAAGGTCAAAATTTGTTTCCCCTTGTCCGCCATTTGAAATATTTGAACTTCCTTGTGACAACTTCCAATGTACGTTTTGGTTTACACTGAACAGTTATCAGAGGATCTGGGCGAATAGTCGTAGTTTTTGCGTCTCATGCACGTTGGGATTCCGACGTCGGCTGTTTTCTTACCCGATTGGAACAAAAAAGCGCAGAAAAGTGAGCGAATGCTGCGTGGATTCGAAACGTGTTCAACAACGGAACGCGGTAAAGTTTTTGCATGAGTTGAACGCTGCTTGCGGATAAGGAGAGGCGAAGGGAAGGCCTGTGAAGCCTGGGCTTTTTTCTTGCGCTAGTCATGGCCGGAAATTTTGATTCGGAGGACCGAGGGAGCTGGTATTGGGGGAGATTAAGCCGGCAAGAGGCGGTTTCGCTGCTCCAAGGGCAGAGGCATGGAGTGTTCCTGGTGCGGGACTCGATCACTATTCCCGGGGACTACGTGCTGTCTGTGTCGGAGAACTCCAAAGTCTCTCATTACATAATAAACAGCATCAGCAGCAATCGCCAGTCCGGACCAGGTAAGCGGTGCATATAAATATACTGCCAACAACGGGACGAATAAATACTGCTTTAGCAAAACGTTAAACAGCTCGACGAGAAACTTGTGTAACGTTACTTCTATACTACGAATAGTTCTGCACATTCAGTCACATTTTTTGCGTCATTCTAGTATTACGTAGTAATTTAGTATTCTCTGTAAGATGTTTACACATACAGAGATGTTATTTTTCAGTATAAACCGTGTTGTTGATTCAGTCACTCAGATAATTTAGATATTTTAACGTGTAATGGGAACCATATGTATTTTTATGACAAAACACCCACTTTTATGTTTGTAGACGCTGTATGCGCAGTAATGCTGAATTTATTAACTATTATGTGTGGTATTTAAAAAAAATAGTGTATATGCAATTGTAATTATTATATCTACCATTTAGTGAAGCCTTCATAGATTAAGGTTAAGTAAACCATGATAGTCCATCCATCCTATGTGTTGCCGCTGTCATCCTGCAGGACTCGCTCCTCCTCGGTTCCGTATTGGAGATCAGGAATTTGATGCCTTACCTGCGCTCTTGGAGTTCTATAAGATCCACTACCTGGATACCACCACTCTCATTGAGCCCATCAGCAAAGCCAAGCACTCGTCCTTTATCAGCATCAGTGCAGGAACAGGAGGAGCTCCTCAGAGGCTGGAAGAGGAGTACGTCCGAGCTCTCTTTGACTTCCCCGGCAATGACGACGAGGACCTTCCATTTCGAAAGGGCGATATTCTAAGAGTTCTGGAGAAGCCGGAGGAGCAGTGGTGGAACGCACAGAATTCAGAAGGCCGTGTCGGCATGATCCCAGTGCCCTACGTGGAGAAGTACCGGCCGGCCTCGCCAACATCAGGGGGCCCTGGAGGGTCTGTTGGAGGATCCGGAGCTCACGGCAACTCCGACGGCCACGGTTCTCAGTCTCAACCTCTGCTTGGCGAGCCGGGCCAATATGCCCAGCCGACATCCTTACCCAATCTACAGAATGGTCCGGTTTATGCCAGGGCGATTCAGAAGAGAGTTCCCAATGCCTATGACAAGACTGCTCTTGCTTTGGAGGTAACAAATGTAGCTTTTTTATTGCACAGTATTTTAGTGCAACACAGACACAGATGACTGATTTTGTACATTTAAAAATCTGTATTTTTATATAGAATTTTGTGAAATAAAATGTTTTTTTGGCTTTGGCGCCTCCCAGTGGAACTGTAATTTTCTGTTTAAGTTTGCTGTTTTGTGCATTGCATTAACAAATTGTTTCCTCCATTTCTGACACCGTTGTTAGGTCGGCGACATGGTGAAGGTGACCAAGATCAATGTAAACGGTCAGTGGGAGGGTGAGTGCAAGGGAAAGCATGGCCATTTTCCCTTTACCCACGTCCGCTTGCTGGACCAGCACAATCCAGAGGACGAACTGAGCTGAGAGAGCAGACTGTCTTCCCTAGCAGCCCATAGATGTACACTCCCTTACACACACATACACACACACTCCGGCTCCTCACACATCCTCACTACTGCCCTTTACCTGTCCGCCTCGTCATTACCTTGTGCCATTGTCTCTCATGCCAACGTTCACCATACCTGCAACAATTCCCTTATTAGATTTTATGCAATAATTGAAGATATTTACCAAGTAAACACTAAATTCCACACGCAACACCATACACTACAGAGAGAGGAGCATTAGTGTGTGGCTTCTTGTGAACTGAGAAAAGAGGAAGAAGCCTGCTTGGACTTAAAACATGAGCGGTTTGGTGTCTTAACAAGGGACTGTTCCTTTGCTTCTTTGAATGCGGTAGCATACACTACTTAGTGTCCTAGAACACAGCAGCTTTCACACTACAAATCATCTACTACATGAAAATATTCAGAAATGCAGATCAAACATGCTTTGAATAGTTTTTAGTCTTTTTCATTGGCTTGTCAGGCATTACTGGCTCAGTGCCAGTCAGTTGTGTCATGAAGCGGTTCTTACCGGGGCGGTACATTATATAAAAGATGGAGTAGCCGAACCCTCACCGCATTTAGTTTTATTTATGCACATTTCTAATGTATACAAGATGGGCCATGCATCATTCACTACCGCTAACTTTGTTTTACTACATTTTCATTATATATTATCAGGAAATGCTACTTGCTCCTTTCACCATTATTGCTGTACTTGGAAGTATTACACTAAATGCAGATTTGTTGAATGTGTAACCCTAATTTCTAATGCTAGACTCAATACGTCAACATAAGATAGACTTAAATGATTTTGTTGTTGTTGTTTTTAAATAAAAATCCAACATTGTGACTTTTCCACTTAAAATAACCAATGTGTTTTTGCCAAAACTTCCCTTGCCAAGGTAGAAAATACAGTAAGTGGTTGTTGTAACGACTCTCTACTACGACTCTCCAAAACTACTTTAATATTAATCAAAAACAACCCAGCTGTCTTTAGGATCATATGAAGTGTCATACTAATGTGCAAAGCCTAACCTGATGCCTCAAATGTGTTTTGCTCAATTGATTTTGCACATACGAGTAGCCTTTATCTATGATTGGTTTATCTGGCTATTGATTTTTGTTTTAAAACATCAGCCTCCATCATCATGCCTGTATTATCTATCTCAATGCAGAAATATAGTGCATTTTGTCCTTTAATGCCCAAGTAAGACGTTGCTTTCCTAATTGCCTGCCTTAATTGCAGATTGTTGTCAATGACCAAATCAGCAATGTCTTTAGCCTAATTAGTTAATAGCAACATGTGGGGAAAAGTGGAGTATATTTTGTTCAACCTTGCAGAAATGTTTCTTTTAACCAACTTCCATTACTAATGACTGTATTTGGAGAATAGAAATCGAATGTCTGTGGACAAATGTATAGATTATAACACTAATAGACAGGCTACCAGAACACTATCAAATGTTAATGTTTTTACCCTTTACCTTTATTTGTTGTTACTTTTAAAAAGAAAACTTTGTTTGGTAACAATGACAATCACCTGGAAACTCTTCTGTTATGTCACATCTAAATGTTAGAAAGCGATGTCGTGTATGTGTAGGTTAGCTGTATGTTGTCATGATGTGACAGCAAGCCGGCCATGTTATGTAATTGTCACTTAAGTCGTAATTATGAAGGACTTTGATGTTCATGATCTGTCTTATTAACTGTCTATGTTCAGTCAGAAATGACCTTGATGAAATTAGATCACTAAAATCAGTCACAAAGCAAAGCTGGAGTCTTGTAAGTCTGAACTCTCACCTGTGTCCTGTGAGAATGATTTCACCTCAAAACGCACCACTTTTGTTTATGACTGAGTTGAAAGAGTAATCGAAGTCATGTCTGTACATTTTGTTCAACCTTGCAGAAATGTTTCTTTTAACCAACTTCCATTACTAATGACTGTATTTGGAGAATAGAAATCGAATGTCTGTGGACAAATGTATAGATTATAACACTAATAGACAGGCTACCAGAACACTATCAAATGTTAATGTTTTTACCCTTTACCTTTATTTGTTGTTACTTTTAAAAAGAAAACTTTGTTTGGTAACAATGACAATCACCTGGAAACTCTTCTGTTATGTCACAACTAAATGTTAGAAAGCGATGTCGTGTATGTGTAGGTTAGCTGTATGTTGTCATGATGTGACAGCAAGCCGGCCATGTTATGTAATTGTCACTTAAGTCGTAATTATGAAGGACTTTGATGTTCATGATCTGTCTTATTAACTGTCTATGTTCAGTCAGAAATGACCTTGATGAAATTAGATCACTAAAATCAGTCACAAAGCAAAGCTGGAGTCTTGTAAGTCTGAACTCTCACCTGTGTCCTGTGAGAATGATTTCACCTCAAAACGCACCACTTTTGTTTATGACTGAGTTGAAAGAGTAATCGAAGTCATGTCTGTACATTTTAATTGTACCCAAAGTATTATGTTTAGAACCTAAATATCAACACAGTAATTTTGTGAAATTAATCTTGTTATCCTTTATGTGCATCCAAGTCTGTCAGAACAGTGTTTTAAGTCACACAAAAAATCCTACGTTTTTGTTACAGTTTTATTCCTGTACATGAAATAAAGTTGACCCCTATAGTAATGCTACTCAACCCTTTTACTTTGCCTCTGTCAGTATTTTCATGCCTTACATTTATTACTCTATTAAGAGCATCAACATGATGGAGAGGTTTCTGTTTCATTATCCTATTATAGTGTCGTTTTTTTTCTTTTATATAATATCCAGTTATTAATTTTGATGAGCCAATCTGGCTGCAAATTTTGAAGTTGTATCAGATAGTAATATCATGATACGTGTACATGATTACACAATTACTTTATTGCTAGTGATTTACACTGAAACAGCAAAACATTTAATTGATATGGTGTGTAATTTTTAGAAATATATTTGTAAAAAAAAAAAAGTCTAGACCTGAATGAAATACAAATAACACCTTAAATGGTTTTGAATTTAGCATTTTATTTTTAATATGTTCAATTGAAGCAATCATCATTTACACTCATATTGTTTGAAAACTATTACTGACTTTCTTCTGTGGAACACAAAAGAAAATATTTTGAAGAATGTTGGTATTTATTGTTGGTATTTGGTTACCAACATTCTTCAAAATATTTTCTTTTGTGTTCCACAGAAGAAAGTCAGTAATAGTTTTCAAACAATATGAGTGTAAATGATGATTGCTTCAATTGAACATATTAAAAATAAAATGCTAAATTCAAAGCCATTTAAGGTGTTATTTGTATTTCATTCAGGTCTAGACTTTTTTTTTTTTTACAAATATATTT